TAAAAACCGCTGCTAAGTTGTATATTTTTTATAATTTTGGTACTCATTTCATGAACACTGCATTTCCTCATAGAGATAAAAATAATAGAAATATATTAATTACTTTTTATAAATATGGTAAAAGTGATTGGATTTTGGATCAATCAATGTATTTTTAAATACCCTACAAGATATTTACAATAATTTAATAGTTAAACAAAAATTTTTAAACACAAAAGTTGAGAAAATGTCATTTTCCAAAATTTTTGGTTTTTAAAATACCAATGATTTCGAAATTTATTATCGAATTAGGTTTAAAAATAGGTTAGGTCAATCGAATCGATTCTTAATGCTCTACAATTTGGTAACGATAATTTTAAAGTTACTTCTACGTTTTTCAACAAAATTTTCAAAAAGTCTCCGGTTAATATGGACGAAAAATGATGAACAAAAAGTTTTGAACGTTCAAATGAACGAAATATTTTTTGTTAAAAATATTTTCATAGATTATTGATTACAATTCAAATTAAAAACTCAAATTTTACATTTAGAAACATTATAATTAATTTGCTTAATAGTGACGCAAAATTATAGTAATAAAAATTTGATTTGAAGAAGAAATAAATAAATTTCGTTCATTTGAACGTTCAAAACTTTAACCTCCTGAAAAATGTTCAATTAGGGACCAAAAGATGCATCTAAAAAAACTCTACAAAACTAAAGAAAAACATTTATAGGTGTCCTAACATTTTTTTAAAGTTATGGGCAAAAAACGTTTTTTTGCAAAATTAAAAATTCAAAAAAAAAATTAGTTAAACTTTATTAATCTATCATAAAGTACTTTCATATGTGGACGTCCACATGAAAAGAGCCCATATTGTCGGTTCTAGTTTTCGAGATAATCGCAATTTAGTAATTTTGGAGCAAAATCTTAATTTTTTTTTATTTTTTATTATCTATCTACATGCTTTGGCAAGTCGAATCAAGCGGTTTTCATTAATTTATCGATAATTTAACTGTTTGATTTCATTGGTTCTTTAGAAAAATGAAAAGGGCCCATTTTGTCAGTCATTTGCAAAGGTAATCCGTATTTTAAAAATGGAGGTGCGGAAAAATTTAAAACCTCTTGATTTTTCATCTCTAAGGTGTCCTGAACTGAAAACAATTCTTATCTGAATAACTTCCCAAAAGAACCAGAGATATTGATGTTAGAGTCTTTTTTCTCGTAATTGTCGAAATGAAAATTTGGATATTGCGTCAATTTTTTCATAATAGAGACTGTAAAAAATTTTTTAATAAGTTTAATATATATTTTTTTTCTTTAAATGACACAATAAAATTGTACCTAATCATTAATCTTGTAAAAAAATGGTTTTTTAATAGAAAAACTGTCCTTTTTAAAAAAGGGCCCATATTGTCGGTTTTTAAATTAATTAGTTAATTAAGGGGGGGGGTGGTTCTAAAAATTTAAAACCTGTTGGTTTTCTATCTTCAAGGTGCCCTGAACTGGAAACAATGCTTATCTGAATAACTTCCAAGAAGAACCAGAGATACAACAATTGGTTGGTATCGCAATCTTTAATTTCGTTTTTCTCGAAATGAGGTTTATTTGGCGTTCTAAACTTTAAAATTCCGTAACTCAGCGAATTTTTAACCAAAAAAGTTCTGAGACCACTCAAAATTTAATTTCATTTAATTTCATTTAGTAACAAATAGTTACTGTTAATAAATACAATTTCCAATTCTAAGAATTATTTTTTTATATAAAAATTGTAATTTAATGTTTCAAGAAAAATTGAAGAATTTTTGTATAATTTGAAAAAATTATTTTTTGTGGAATTTTAATTTATAAATAGGTATGATTATAATTCTTAAAAATTTTAATTGTTTTAATTTAAAATTTTTAATTAGTTTGTGTATATATTTGAATTTTCGGAAATATTGAAAATATTGAAAATAATTCAATTCTTTGCAAGAATTCAATTATTTTCATAAATAATAACGATTTTCGTAAAAATTAAATTATTTTTAAACAAAATTTTAATAAAATTTTACGAATAAATACAATTATTTTCTAAAATTTTAATAAATACTTCAAAACAATTTAATTATTTTCTTAAATAGAAATAGATTTTAATGTTTGCAAAAATTCAATTATTTTCAAAAAAATTTCAAGAATGATTTCAATTTTTTTCTCATTTCGTTATAAAATCTTTGCAAAAATTCAATTATTTTTAATACAATTTTAATAAAATTTCAAAAATTTTCAATTAAAATTCTTTAAGAATTCTTTGAGATTTCTGTCAAAATAATTGTGCAAATAAAATAACCGAGTTGAGTTGTACAATTCGAAACTCCGATTTTCGAATCGGCCAATTGGTAGTTCGATTCGAATTTACTTTCGATTCGAATCGGCCAATTCGAAATTCGAAACTTCGAATTTCGAATTGGTATTTCGATTCGAATTTTCTTTCGATTCGAATTGGCTAATTCGAAATTCGAAATTCGAAACTTCGAATTGGTATTTCGATTCGAATTTTCTTTCGATTCGAATTTTCTGTTGTCGAGTCGAATAATTTTCGATTTGACTCGATTAAATGCACACCTCTAATATGCATATCTAACTATAAATGCACGTTTAGTCGTTTCAGGGGTTAGGGAGAGTCATCCTTATGAAAAAATGAACATTTAAATAATTTTTCTTTTTTGATAGTTGGTCAAAATTCTTGGTAGACAATATTGTGCAAATTATTTAGTCCTAGCGATTTCTCGCTGGATAACCATTAAAAATTTTCATTTGCTTCCAAAATGAATAATTCATAATGCATAATTACAAATTGTTGGGATTTAACTTTATTCAGAGATTTTACGCAGAAAGACTGGTCATATTTGCAAATTAATTTAATTTAATCTATTAATAGAAACTAATATATTAAATTTATTGATTCTGACAATAATCGTTTTCAATTTTTATTTATTCTTGCTTAACGCGAAAAAAACTGATGGATTTGCTGTAATTAATCCAGTAATTCTTTGTCATACGAATACGTCAGTCTTCACACTCAAAATTTTTTTTGCCTGTGTGATATAAGAATATTATAAAAGAAATATATGATAAAGGGGAATAGGATAGAGAAGGGATACAATAGAGGGGGGAATGTTATAGTTGGGGTATACTGGAGAGGGAATTATGGTGCGTAATTCCCCATACATATATCTATATATGCACTCCAAGAGAGCACGGTTGCCCTGTTATGATTAATTGACTTTACGTGCAACATGACAAAAGCAGATATATTCCAAGCTCGACGATTACCCAGGGTGTCATGACACATGTCCCTTTGCGCATAAATAAAGCAATAGTGGTGAGAGAGAGAGTCAAGTTTGCGTTTAAACGCATTTTCGCCGCACGTATACATAAGAGGACAAAATATGTCTCTCTCTCACTCCAAAAACTGACTCCAATGGTGTGAAAGAGGAAAGGTCGAGTAATTGCTCGAATTGGGGAAAATTGTGTTTGCGCACTCTTCCGATGCATGATCGTTTTCAACGCCTATATCGAGACGCCCTCGAGTGTGAATCTAATCGTTTATTCTCTCCTGCGAGGCTAAAACGAATTTGTAACATGCACACGCATTGAAGTAGGGATGCAAATAAACAATGAAGATAAGGTTTCTTTTTTTTATTCTACCGAATTGTGAAACAAATAATTGTCAACTTAGTGGTTAAGTATGCGTAATTACGAGATATTTTTAGACGTGCGCAAAGCCTAAGCTGTCGCATTAAGGTAAAACAAAGTCTCTTCGCTTTTCGAAAACCATATGTGATCATTTAGATTTTTATTTATTGAAGGGTAAATACTGTAGTTATTTTTCCTTTTTCAAAGAACTTTTTTAGTTTTTTTCTACCTCTTCCACTCTAAATTATTTGATTCTTGATTTTACTGACATTCCGAATACCATTTTAATTTTAATCTCCCCTATGTTTACAGATTTTTTTACCAATTTTTGTTAACTACACGGAAAAGTTCTTGGGCGAGTCGCTGTACCTGTTGTGGTGGCGCTGAGTGACCAGTACCTATGGTAAAGTGACAGCCCCATTTTGGTAGCTCATTTCACCCACAGAGACTGCTGCTTTCCTACTGTGGGGCGTCAGAGCTCTCTTGTGGGGCATCAGAGCTCTCTTTAGAGAGAAAGCAGAAAACCTCTTCTGTGGGAGGCGAGTGAGAGACGTCTGCTCGCCCAAAAACTTTTCCGTGTAGCTTGACGTAAATTTTTCAATAAAGAAAACAAAATATTTCAAAAGAATTTGAATTGGACTGAGAGAGACTTCAAAAGTCGATTATCCACATTTCACTGCTAAGGAACAAAACCATTATCTGATATCTAATATCTCAATGACGATAATTCAAATAAAAGCACAAATTGTATTAGTACACGGAGAAAAAAATTAAGCGTTTGTAGTATGTTTAATTAATTTATCAACATCGTCCCAATTTTAATTATTAATTTAATTAAATTAAATCCGGAAATTTAAGAAATTAAATGTGGTTTTAAATATAAAAGTAATTATAAGTTAATAATTTTTACTAATATTCGACAAATTTTATTATTTGTAAGCGTAAAATTATTTAAATGTAAAATATTTAAATCAGTACAAAGCAAATGCGAAGAGCATTTTGAAAAAGAAAGTTTCATATTTGGTCCAGAACAAATTTTTCCATGTTGTAATTTCAATTGTTGTAAATTTAATTTAATTTTTAATGTTTTTAGAAAAAACAATGTTCAATATTTTTGCAATCTTCCCGGTATATATAAAGATCTATGATAAGCAATATACATATAAGCGAAAACACAAAATATATAGTTATCAAACAAAGATAAATTTTACTTTGCAATTTATTTTTTCTTTGCATGCAGTATTTTTTATTCTTTTATGTCTTTTTAATATCAGAACATCGTGTGATTTTCTTATAGGCTAACCGAACATAAAAGTAGAAAAACATTTTTAAAAACAAATTAAAAACATATTGCAATTCGTAAAAGACCAGTTTTCTGCCACGTTACACTGCAGTGCAACAAAATATTCCAGAGAATAAAGTTTATTAATTACTTGTTTCCTAAAACAGCTGAAAATATTACATTACAGAGTGTAAAAGTTTCATAAACTGTAAGTATCTATTCAACTTTTAAGATTTTTTGAATTAATACAAAATATATTACACTTTTTAAAATTTCTATCAACAAAAACTCATAAAAAGTTTAATCTTATTACCCCTTGACTGCCGATGGCAAAGATCTTTGCCATTTCGGACTTTGCTCTGACTGCCAAAAAACTGACAATCTTTGCCATGATAAAAATTGATGTAAAAAAGTCAAAAATGGCTGAAAATTAAAAATAAAATGATTTCTAAAAAGTCAACGCTATGCAGAATGCGACGCAAGTTTCTGTTTTTAAATTCAATGAAAGATAAAAATGTTATAAATTTTAAAAAACAACACTTTTAGAAAATTTTTCAAAATCTTTGCCATGGACAATACAATGCATTTTTATTTGAAAAATGTCTAAAATCGCCTGAAATCTGTTACTCGGGGGACAAATTTTGTTATTTGTAAGCGTAAAATTATTTGAATGTAAAATATTTAAATCAGTACAAAGCAAATGCGAAGAGCATTTTGAAAAAGAAAGTTTCATATTTGATCCAGAACAAATTTTTCCATGTTGTAATTTTAATTGTTGTAAATTTAATTTAATTTTTAATGTTTTTAGAAAAAACAATGTTCAATATTTTTGCAATCTTCCCGGTATATATAAAGATCTATGATAAGCAATATATCTATTAGCGAAAACACAAAATATATAGTTATCAAACAAAGATAAATTTTACTTTGCAATTTATTTTTTCTTTGCATGCAGTATTTTTTCTTCTTTTATGTCTTTTTAATATCAAAACATCGTGTGATTTTCTTATAGGCTAACCAAACATAAAAGTAGAAAAACATTTTAAAAAAACAAATTGAAAACATATTGCAATTCGTAAAAGACCAGTTTTCTGCCACGTTACACTGCAGTGCAACAAAATATTCCACAGAATAAAGTTTATTAATTACTTAATTTCTAAAACAGCTGAAAATATTACATCAAAGAGTGTAATAGTTTCATAAACTGTAAGTATCTATTTAATTTTTAAGATTTTTTGAATTAATACAAAATATATTACACTTTTTAAAATTTCTATCAACAAAAACTCATAAAAAGTTTAATCTTATTACCCCTTGACTGCCGATGGCAAAGATCTTTGCCATTTCGGACTTTGCTCTGACTGCCGAAAAACTGACAATCTTTGCCATGATAAAAATTGATGTAAAAAAGTCAAAAATGGTTGAAAATTAAAAATAAAATGATTTCTAAAAAGTCAACGCTATGCAGAATGCAACGCAAGTTTCTGTTTTTAAATTCAATGAATTATAAAAATGTTATAAATTTTTAAAAACAACACTTTTAGCAAATTTTTCAAAATCTTTGCCATGAACAATACAATGCATTTTTATTTTAAAAATGTCTAAAATCGCCTGAAATCTGTTACTCGGGGGACAAATTTTATTATTTGTAAGCGTAAAATTATTTGAATGTAAAATATTTAAATCAGTACAAAGCAAATGCAAAGAGCATTTTGAAAAAGAAAGTTTCATATTTGATCCAGAACAAATTTTTCCATGTTGTAAATTTAATTTAATTTTTAATGTTTTTAGAAAAAACAATGTTCAATATTTTTTGCAATCTTCCCGGTATATATAAAGATCTATGAAAAGCAATATACCTATAAGCGAAAACAGAAAATATATAGTTATCACGTTGGTGAAGTTCACAACGTTTATAATCAACGATTTCCTAAGAAAAATATTTTTTTAATCAAATTTTTATTAATTTTTGTATAGAAAATATTTTGGTTAGTTTTTTGAATAATGATTTACAAAAGAAATATTTGTGAACAAAAAATTTTATTCTTTTTCGTATTAGGAAAATAATTTTTTTTTTCAATCGTTGATCATAAACGTTGTGAACTTCACCGACGTTAGTTATCAAACAAAGATAAATTTTACTTTGCAATTTATTTTTTCTTTGCATGCAGTATTTTTTATTCTTTTATGTCTTTTTAATATCAGAACATCGTGTGATTTTCTTATAGGCTAACCAAACATAAAAGTAGAAAAACATTTTAAAAAAACAAATTAAAAACATATTGCAATTCGTAAAAGACCAGTTTTCTGCCACGTTACACTGCAGTGCAACAAAATATTCCAAAGAATAAAGTTTATTAATTACTTGTTTCCTAAAACAGCTGAAAATATTACATTACAGAGTGTAAAAGTTTCATAAACTGTAAGTATCTATTCAACTTTTAAGATTTTTTGAATTAATACAAAATATATTACACTTTTTAAAATTTCTATCAACAAAAACTCATAAAAAGTTTAATTTTATTACCCCTTGACTGCCGATGGCAAAGATCTTTGCCATTTCGGACTTTGCACTGACTGCCGAAAAACTGACAATCTTTGCCATGATAAAAATTGATGTAAAAAAGTCAAAAATGGCTGAAAATTAAAAATAAAATGATTTCTAAAAAGTCAACGCTATGCAGAATGCGACGCAAGTTTCTGTTTTTAAATTCAATGAATTATAAAAATGTTATAAATTTTTAAAAACAACACTTTTAGCAAATATTTCAAAATCTTTGCCATGGACAATACAATGCATTTGTAATTTAAAAATGTCTAAATTCGCCTGAAATCTATTACTCGGGAGTTTTCGGGGTCGCTGATTACGAATATGATGTCAGTTTTTCAAAATTCAAAATGGCGGATCCAATATGGCGGATGACTTTTTTAAAAATTGATCCAAATTACCTCAAATTTTTTACTCGGGTATTGTCGGGGTCGCTAATTACGAATATGATGATGGTTTTTCAAAATTCAAAATGGCGGATCTAATATGGAGGATGACTTTTAAAAATGTCTAAAATCGCCTGAAATCTATTACTCGGGGGTTTTCGGGGTCGCTGATTACGAATATGATGTCGGTTTTTTTAAATTCAAAATGGTGAATCCAATATGGCGGATGACTTTTTTAAAAATTGATCCAATTTACCTGAAATTTGTTATTTGGGGGTTGTCGGGGTCGCTGATTACGAATATGATAATGATTTTTTAAAATCCAAAATGACGGATTCAATATGGCAAATATTTTTTTTAAAAATTTGGATTCGCTTGAAAATTATCATTCGGGGGTTTTCGGGGTCGCTGATGACGAATCCGATGTCAGTTTGTCAAAATTCAAAATTGCTGATCCAATATGTCATACCGTGGAGATCCACTTCACCCATGAACTTATTGAAAAGGTGAAATGCGTTAAGACATTTCAATAGAATTTCATTTTTTGCACTGTCTTTATAGCTGTTCTATGAAACCGGCATTTGTAAAATTTGTTCTGCTTTCATGATAAAAAAACAAAATTTAAAAAAAAATGTCCGCCATATCGAATCCGACATTTTGAATTTTTAAAAACAGACATCCGATTCGTCAACAGCGACCCCGAAAACCCTTGAGTGATAATTTTCAAGAAAATCCAATATTTAAAAAAAAATATCCGACATAATGGATCCTTTATTTTGAATTTTAAAAAACTGACATAGAAATCGTCATCAGCGAAACCCAAAAATCCCCGAGTGACAAGTTTTAAGCGAATACAAAATTTAAAAAAAAATGTCCACCATATTGGATTCACAATTTCTAATTTTTAAATACTGACATCGGATTCATCATCAGCGACCCCGAAAACCCCCTAATGATAATTGTCAAGCGAATCTAAAATTAAAAAAAAATGTCCATTATATTGGATCCGACATTTTGAATTTTGAAAAACTGACATAGAAATCGTCATCAGCGACCCCAAAAATCCCCGAGTGACAAGTTTCAGGTAATTTTGATCAATTTTTAAAAATCCGTCCGCCATATTGGATCCGCCATTTTGAATTTTGAAATACCGACATCAGATTCGTAATCAGCAACCCCGATAACCCCTGAGTAACAAGTTTCAGACAAATTGGACGATTTTTTATTCTTGGCATTCTGGGCACATTTAGTGTTTTTCAGCCGGCAGTTAAAGGGTTAAAGTCATCAATTGAAGAAAACCTATGTTTCATTGTTTTAATTAAATTAAATGGACTTATTTATTTGTAATGTTAGTTCTTTTTAATGAAAATACGAAGTAAGTAATATGAAAACGTTTAGAGTTGACGAATGAAATTGCTTACGTGGCATGTTAGGACGTGGTAACAATATGTTTTTTATTTACTCTTAGTAGATATAACACAAACAAAATAAAAAAATGAAATTTTTGTTTATTAATTAAAGCTAAAGCAATAAAATTTTACTTAATTGGAAATTACACAGTAGCGTTAGATAATTTAGAATAAATACTACTGCGCATATCTACAGAATACATTATGCTTCTGCGCATGATACAAAATAAAAGAACATTAATGCGCAAGTCAAAAACATAATTAGTACCACTACACATTACCAACGTCCAAGAAAATTTTTTGTTTACACTTTTTTTCTCTCCAAACAAAATTTGTCAGTGATTACTCTAACTTTAAAAAAATAAGTGTATTATGCACCTTTTTATTTTAGTACCCAACAATTGTTGATAAATACAATCCAACTAAAGATGAAATTTAACATGGAGGTACTGTACTTTCTTTTGCTTCTTGTAAACATAAATAATATCTACATAACAGAAAGTACCAATTATGACGATAACTATGAAGATCCAGAAGAAATACAGGTAGGATTGAAATAATTTAATTATTTCTATGCATTAGTAAAAACCTGTGAGTAAAAACTCAATAAAACAATTTTTCAGGACGGCCTTCTTCACCTCCCTTATTGCGCATTTTTGAATATATACAATTATTCGAAATTAATAGAGAAATTTCTTACAATGAGAACAGTAACCAATCTACTTATCGTAATAGCAGATGATATGGAAGACGGGATAGTCTTAGCTAATTTCTTGAGTAACGGAAATAGAGTGAAATTTGCTGTAGAAGAACTTTCTGAGAATGAAGTAATGCTACAAAATGAAATACTGCGAAATTTTTATTTCTTTTATTCTAGTTTGAAAAAGACACACATATTCGTCTATCCTTCAAACGCACCGAATCAAGTATTAGCACAATATTTAACGAACCAAACTGTAGAATCGGCAAATAGATTAAAAGTTGCACTTACATGTAAAAGTGATAATATTAGAGAAACCTTGAATTCTACGCTTTTGTTTACACTAAATGTTTTGGAACTTGACATGCGACAACGTCGTTGCGAATTGGAGTACAACATTATTTTTATCCCATTAAATATACATGATTCTGGGAAATGTAAATTTGAAGTAGAAAAATTGAAACACTACTTTTTTATAAGCTTTGTAAGATTCGGGACTACAGCTTATATTAATTTTGATTTGTTTGAAGACAGAAGTATTTTCAAAACTTTAACAAGAGAAGAGCAATTACACTTTCTTGTCTTAAAACCTCTTATTGATGATGAAGAGCATGTTAATACTATGTGTTCAAAACCTCAAAGTTTTTTAGAAAATGATTATCTACTTCGTACGGAAGAATTAATAAATCTTCGTCCTCCTCCAGTGCCTGAGACTAATATCATAAATAATGAATGTTTTCGTGATATACAAACAACTGAAACCTCTTTTATAACAGATTTGTCTATTTTACCAGATTGGTTAATTCTATCTATCAAGAATATTACTAACATTGATCTTAAAGGCAAAGAATCGGTCTATGTATTACTAGACAAGCTTTGTATAAATACAGAGAAACTTAAAATCTTTCAATTACTTTGTTCTACCAAGAACATCATTAACAATGAATCGATATTGTTGAACTATTTTAAACAAATTGTAAATTATTATTCAGAACAGCAAAAAAGATGGTTTTCCATTTCAAATGATTGCTTTGAAAATGATATGAATACTGAAGAATCCCAAACATCAACTGAAGTTCACCAAACTGATTACAATAGGCAACCCAAATTAAAGAAAAATTTCTTTGGCTTTCAAGGATTTATTGATGAAACAAAGGTAATTCTGAAAAAATTTCTCATTAAGAAAAATGTGTTCCGCTAATTTAATAGGATGCAACAAGTGTATTTTGAGATTAATAAAAAATAATTCACACTGTACAGTCGACTAAGTAGTTTATTTTCCATTCAAATCCATCAGGATTTGGTTTTGTAAATATAAATAACTTTCTATTCATTCTCTTTATTTAATAAGAAAACTTTTGTTACAGAAAAATATGTTGCCGATTTCAAACCAATTGAAAAACTATACTTGCAAATATTTTGAACTACCTGCATTGATTGAATTAAAAAAAATCTTGATTACTAAGTTAGAAAGTGTTAACCTTCTTCTTGTGATAGCAGTTGATATGAAAGATGGAATAAAGTTAGCTGAATTTGTAAGTTCGAAAAATAGAGTTGATTATCTAGATGAAATTTCAATAAAATATCCAATGACTGCAGAGAATATCATGCAAAATTATTATTTATACTACAGCCGTCTAACAAATACGTACATTCTGGTCTATCCGAGTAATGCGCCTAATAAATTATTAGCGACATATTTGTCAAAAATTATTATAAATTCTGTGTCAAATATTAAAATAGCACTGACATATAATGGTGGAATAAACAAAGATAGTTTGAATTCCCTATTTTTGTTTACATCAAAAGTATTAGAGTTGAATATTGAAGACTATTTTAAGATTCCCGATAGTGTAATTACCATTCTACCAGCAAACATTGAAGAAAATTCAGATTTAGCGCATGAATTAAAAAGGGAAATACTTAAAAATTTCATAGCAAAATTCAAAAGATTAGAAGAACAGAGAGAGCTAACTTCGTGGTTCAACAAAAAAAGTAACATTATGAATTTGCATTATAAAGACCTATTGGAATATATTATAATTCAACATTCAGCTACTAATTTCTACAAGTACCAGAATGAAAAAAATGTTCCTCTCAAAATAGCTAGCGCTTTTTATGATACTAATTACATGTCATCAAAGGATATTATCAATATTCGTTATTTGTTAAACAATTTTTCTGCAAATGAAGAATGTATAAGAAGTATGTTTCCCCTTATGGACGAGAAACATGTGAATAAACTTTCTGCAGTAGATATATCATCCCTAAAAGGTTTATTATCTTTTCCCACTTGGATAATCAAATCCAAGCAGGAAATGTCTATAAACAAATTTCAAAACGATAAACTTGTTAAAAAATTCATAACCGATATTTGTAATGGCTCAAACGAAATTGAAATTGTACAGATGATTTGCCTTTTGAGGTATATGGACGATATCAATAATAACCAAGAATCCAAATGGTTGAGTTTGTTGCAAGATTATATCATAAATTATTATTACCATGAAGAAAAACCGTGGTTTTATCAATTAGAATTAATTTATGAAGACATGCATGCGAGTAAGGCAATGATGCAGACAAAATTACAAAATCTTTATGAGGAAATATTTCAAATTGATAAAAAAAAGCAAGGTCTTATGATGGAAGCTTTTCACATGGTGAATAATTCTCTTAATTCAAAAATCGATTATTCATGCTCTGCATTAAACAATAAAAACTACAAACTGCAACTAAGGGGGACAATATTTAATTTTAGTCAAATTTTGTACACACAATATTGTCCTGGAAAAGTGATAGTTTTGGAAATGTTTGCTCTGGATAAAATTATAATCGATGAAGATCTAATTAGTAATGAATTGCAACAAGTCATTATAAATGCACCAATTTGGGAAATTATTTCAAAAAGAATTATACGTTTAGATGGTTCTCCTGGAGAAAATACTTGGGCAAGTTGGCCAATTTTTGAGAGGAAAAATGCTTTTTATTTTTTTTTTAAATTAAAATTACTTCTAATAATATTAGAAATAAAAATAATTTACAAATAATAAATAAAACAAAATTTTTAGGGCCCAGAAACATTTTCTGATCGTATATATGGTTTACATGGTACACCCGGAGGACGAGGAGGATCATTCTTTGGAATCGTTGATAATACTATTAATGGAGAAAACTTACGTATTGAAAGTAATGGAGGTAATGGAAGTAACGGACAAGATGGCCATGATTTGGTATGGACTTTTGAAAAAATTTCATGGTGCGATGAATTTCGAGAGGATTTTCAAGGCAGAGGAGGAAAAGGTGGAAATCCTGGTATTATTGAAATTTTCAATCTACATTATGATACAAATTTTAATGCAAAATTATTATCTACTGACGGTAATGACGGTAGGTCTGGTAAAGTTATAAGAGAAGAAATTAATTATGATTATTTTCGATCCGTAATTATTAAAAAGGAAAGTTCTTGCCAACTAGAAGAAAGAAGAATGAAAAATGAACTAAGCATTACTTCCTATTATTTAAATAATTTCCTTAAATTGAATTTCAGGAAAAGTGTTTCGAATTACATAAGCTATATTATAATAAGTAGTAACTTTAATCCTAAATATAAATATTTATACGAAAAGATGACTAGCAAGAGAGTTGAAGAAATGCTCTTTTCATTTATCATGAAGAAATTTTAAGGAATAATTATTATTCCTTAATTATTAGTCCAAATCGAATGTCAAATATTCGACGTTCGAACTGGGCTAACACGAATGTTGAATTTTCGACATTCGAACTAGGCAAAAAAATTCGAACAGTTCGGTTCTAATTATTTTGCATAGCTCTATAAACTATAAATCTACAATTGTGTGGAGAAGGACAATTTATTGAGGATAATGTAATAGATGATTGTTAAAAGATTTATAAAAAATGTAGTTCAATAAGTTATATGTCAATACTTTAAAATCTGGACCCGAATAATGAAAATTTTATGTCTAAGGTAAAACAATTGAACTCCTTGATGTTAGAACCAGACATAGACCATTGGCATTAAATGGGCTGCGTCTAGTTCGTGCATCAAGGCGTTGAATTATTAAACTAAAAATTAATTTACATTCTATGTATTGCTAAAAATATTTTATTCCCATTAATTTTAAATTTAATAAATCCATATAAATTTAAATTTGATTTATTTACTAACCTCGATCCAATTTTAGTTATTAACCCTCTGGGCAAAAACAATGTTCGTTCCAAAACCATTCTTAAAATCTTTATAAAACTTTTCAGGTCCGACAAATAATGTTCCAAAACATTTCAAGGACATGGATGTTTAAATATTGTTCTGAAACATTATTTGTCGGACATGAAACGTTTTAAAAAAGTTTTTGGAACGAACATGATTTTTCGCCCAGTGGGAATTTAAATTTAATCAGAGAATTTAGGGGATTAAATGTATGGGATTAGACATGAAAGTAATTATTAGTGAATAATATTTGACAGTTTTCAATATTTGCAAGTGTTAAAATTATTTGAATGTAAAATATTTAAATTAAATGACAATTGTGAATTACGTGAATAATTTTAATTGCATAATTATAGTTAAAATTTTACTATAGTTTAAAATATAGCAGTTCAAAAATATTCCCATTTTATATCATAAACTTTAGAAAATCAATCTCAATCAACAGACTCCATAAATATCAATTTAGCTAATAGTTCACTATGATAAATGATATGGTCAGACAAATTGATTCGATCGAATCGATATGTTGATGAAAATGGGTTTTTTTTACTTTCAAGTGTAACCACACATGTATACAGATTGAAAGTGTCGATCTCGACCCTAATCCACATAAACAACGCACACACCTTTTTTTTATTGTTGCGGAAAAGGGAAATCCATTTTGGAGCAGATGTTTTATTCGCGGATTTATTTAGTTTAATTTTTTCAAGTGGGCGTATCCAAATCATGACCAGCGGCGCTATCATTAATTATCGGATTTATATCGAGCATCCGTTACATTTAAGGGAAAGACGTCGAGTTATGAAATACGATTCATCACTGCCCAATAAAGGGCGATTTCGCAAACTACAATCTACAACAATGTATTTTATCTGTGTCTTCTTCCTCCCAGACACTTGTGCTCTATACACGACTACATATATATAAAACTAAAGTTATACTCGCGGGAAATCTACTCAACTCGCGACAGCTTACGTATGTGACGTGCAATTACCACGTTGATAGATCGTTTCGGTGGATGAGAAGACACCCCTCACTGAATGGACCCTATTTATGTTTCCTTTCAGACCCGTCATGTTCTACTCACACTGGCGAAAAAAAATTTGTGTTTACATATTTTTTACAGTTCTGTTGTGTAGAAATCCTTTCTGAAGCTGATAGTTAAAATGGTCTTCCTTTACCTAATTTTCTTATCTACTCTTTTCAGTCTTTTCATATAAGGAATAGTCAAATTGTTACTTGGATTCATTAACCTCAATTTTAACGTAAACTTCATTATTGTACTTCTTTAGTAAATTATGGTGCAAAATGGGTAAAATTAGTCATACGGTTAACAGATTGTTGTTGCAAATTAAGAAGATGGCGAAGTCGTTATTATAACGATTTTTTATTTAATTCCAATTGACTAAAACTTGAAAGTTTCTTTTCATTACAGTTGTACACTGCTTCAACAACTTCTTTTGATATTTTTTCACTTTCTAAATTTTTGTAATGATAGTTTTGTTTTCGTGGGAAGTGAAACAGGTGTTCTATATCATCTTCGCAAAAAAAATTGTGTGCTCGTACAGTTTCAAACGAATAAAAATTGTGGAATTTTAGAGAAAAAAAAATTTCAAGTGGAGAAGATTATAGGCCTCGTGATTTTTGGTTAGCCGAATCATAAACGTCGATCGTTTCCCCATATAATTTAGAAAACATACACACACATAGAGATTCATCGATTATGATAATGAAGATCGTATGGATTTTTAAAATAAGGAATTTTATGAACCTTAATAAAAATTCTTATTGAGAAAAGTAATCCATTTGATGGTTTTTAATCCAAAACAATTTACAGAGTTGCCACCGCTTTTGCTCATTTCCAATTCCCTGACTTTTCAAAGATTTACAGGTTAAAAAACGAAATTGAGGACAGTTTTTCAAGATAATTGAAATTCTGCCAAGAATTTTATTAATTTTTTTTAAATAATTGAATTTTGTAGAAGAATTTTATTATTTATAAAGATAATTGAAATTCAGACGAGAATTTTTGTAAATTTTTAAACATAATTCAATTTCTGCGAAGAATTATATTACTTTTGAAAATAATTGAATTCTGGAGACGAATTTTATTAAAATTTCTTTTTAAATAATTGAATTCTTGTGAAATTTTTATTATTTACGAAAATAATTAAATGTTTGCGTAGAATTTTATTAAAATTTTTTTAAATAATTGAATTTCTTTGTGAAATTTTATTAAAGTAGTAGATATTAAAAATCATTGAATTGAGGAATGTTTTTGACAATAATTGCAATTTTGTCAAGAATTTTATTAAAAATTTTTAAAATAATTGCATTTCTGAGAAAAAATTTTACTACTTTTAAAAATAATTGAATATTTACAATTATTTGTAATTGCTTTAAAATTCAATTTCTCTAATTTTTTTTAAATTAAAATTCTTCTTTAAATCCATTATTTTCATTAATCAATTAAACATATTAAATTTTATTATTTGTGAAAATAATTGTATTATTGCGAAGAAATTTTTCAAAAATTTGTAAATAATTAAATTTCTGTGAAAATTTTATCATTTATAAAAATAATTAAAGGTTTGCGTGTCATTTTATTAAAATATTTTTAAATAATTGAATTATTTAGGAAAATTTTATTAAAATAGTAGATATTGAAAATCATTGAATTGGTAGAAATTATTGAGAATAATTTAAATTTTGACAAGAATTATATTAAAATTTTTGTTAATAAATGAATTTTAAAGCAGAATTTTATTATTTATGAAGACAATGGATAATTTGAAGATAATTATATGAATTTTTAAACATTCTTCCCAGAATTTTTTTTTGTAATGTCTTTAACTAAAATTCTTCTATAAATTTAAAATTAAAACCTTTTGAAGTTCATCTACTTATGAAAATTATAAACACAACTCTTTTAAAATTGAATAAATTATGAAATATTTAAGTAAAATTAGATTTCAAGAATAAGCACAATAACTTTAGAAAACAACAATTTTCCAGGATTTCGATCAAAATTCGCTGACTTTTCCAGGCTTGTTTAAAGTTTATAAAATTCCCTGATATTTCCAGGTTTCCGCAGGTTGCGTGGCAACCCTGATTTTAATATCCGCTTTCGTTTGTTTAAATAACGTGAATAATAAATATCTTTTTCATTTACTCAACAGTTTTGGTATATATCCAAATCTGATGGTTATAAATCAGAGCATTAATCTCGACCCTTCATCTTTGTACTGTTCATGGCGACAATGGGCAATCTTAAAATACTTGTTTTATTTTTTCGGCGACGGGATGAAAGCTCCTTGCAAGAGAGTTCACGCGTTAAAAGTGAAAAAAAGGAGAGAAAGGAGCGAGGAGTGTGGGAAGAGATTGCAAGCGAATGCATAATCGAAATCAGCAATATCGCCCAAGCATATAGTGCAACGAAAGAAGGCGCAGACAGGCGTCTCTAAAGGAGGGACGAAGCGTACGTGTTCTATCTCGTTCGCCAGGATGCAAGGCGTGTCTTTACGAAATCGCAAACAGTTGTAAAGAATCTGCAAACGGCCTCATAGTCCAAGAGGGGTGGTTTATCTACCCACAGCCAGAAGCGCACTAACTACCATTATCATTTTTGTTCTCGCTTGCGTAATCAATTCACCGCCTGGGAAATTTTTAACCTTTTTTTCAACAATATTTCCCCTCTCATTGTCTCTAGTGTTGGAAAAAAATTTTTTCACCCAAAAACGTGTTTATCGAGAAAATCACTACCAACCACCGCACTGGGGGGTGACGCGTTTTAGAACTTATAAAATGGGTACTTTATTTTATTTATTTTTTTTTGCAGATAAGGCAGACAAAGAACCTGCCTGATTAAGTGGATGCACTTCATTTTTTCCCCCCTTTCTATAAACCTTCCCTTAAGAGGGAAATTTTTCACCAGGAAAAACGTATATTGTTAGTGTTATTGAAGTCATGATGTGCCATACTTTTGCTCTTTTCAAATTCCCTAACTTTTCCAGGTTCTCCAGGTAAAAAACGGAATTTTTCCAAGTTTTTAATTTATATTTTACAAAATTAACTAACTTCCTGATTTCCAGACAAAATTTTTTTTTTCCTGATTCTAAAGAATATTCTGATTCACTCGCAAAATGATTCTATTACATTTATTACCCAATTTCTTTAATTAGAAATAAATATTTAATTATTATCATTTTTTCACAGGAATTAAAATTTTCAAAAATTTTAAATCCAAAATTAAATTTTTTTTTCGTGTTTTTAACTAAAATTCTTCTATAAATGCATTATTATTAATAATTTTTAAAAAAGTTTTTTGAGAATTTTCAAATTCATTTGTTTCCAATTCAATTTTACAAAATTTCAATTATTCGTAAAGTCTTCAATTTCATAAATATTAGAAAATACAAACTTCAAATAATTTTTAAAAAAAATCAGCAATTGAACTTTCTCAAAAAATTTAATTCTACAGAAATCTTAGTTAAAAACATGAAAAAATCAGATTTTTAAAGATTTTAATCTGAAGCCATTTCAAAATTCAATTATTTCTAAAAAAAAACCCACGCTAATTAATGCTTTCAATTATAATCTGAAATTCAAACTGAAATTCATTTTTAAATAAATTTTTATTAGAAAATTCTACTATAATTCAATTATTTAAATACAAAAATAAATATTTTATTAAATAATTTAATGTTTCTTAAAATTGAATTTTCATAAAGAATTTTAAAAACAAATGTTTAAACAATTGAATTCTCATCTTGACAAATTTTAATAAAATTTTTAAGAATAATTTTATTTTTCGAGGAATTTGAAGAAAATAATATTAAAACTAATTGAAATTCTGACAAGAATTTTATTGAAACTTTTTTAAATAATTGAATTTCGGAGAAAAACTTTATTATTTATAAATATAATTTAAATTTTGACGC